CTTGAGGATCATCTCAAGATATCCCAGGACCATGGAAGTCTGCTGAGGGTCCTGAGGCCCTTTAGCAAGTCTCATGCCCTCTCCTCAAGTGTACTATCCCAATTCAGGGATTGTCAGAACCCCCCAAAGATGGACATGCGGGCAGGGCAGCAATGCTGTGCTTCAGCTCCTACCATCACTGAATCATTTCACAAAAAAAAAAAAGAAATCCCAGTATGCGCGCACGTGTGTGTGCACGCACACACACGTGTATGCACACACATGATTTTTTCCACCAAACTCTGGGGTTGTTTCAGAGGTCCCCATTGTGTCTCTGCCTTTGGAATTTTGTAACTGTTTCCACATCACAGTTGGTCACTACTGGGATTGTGAGGCTGTGAGAAAATGTGTTGGCTGTGACCTTGGTCTGTCTATACTAATAAACATACAGTTAGTTATATGTCTCTACTCTCATAGAGAAATCTTACAGAGATGTATAAATACTATAAATATCCATCGATGAATTGGAACAAACTACTGATCATTTATCAAAATGCAAGTCTTCTGACAATCAAGCCTGCAAATTCATGGGTAGGTTGAAACTAACCTTATCTTGATAACTTATCTTGATACTAAGCTATCTTGCTACTTTTTAAACTTCTTCCAGATTAGATTTTTGTTCAGTGTGTCCTTAAAATTTAGAACTACTAGGACTTGTGGCCATACTGATTCCATCTCTTATAAATAGGTGGTTGCTTGCTAATCCTTTAGTTCTAGAAAGTTCTGTGGACAATTTCCTTCCTTTCCCCACCCTGAAGTGTGTACCAGTCCTGGGCCTTTTTAGTTCCTCTTATCCCCTTTGTTTAGCTCCTCACAACATCTAGAATATATTTATTTCTTAATAAATGTCATTTAATATGCCCATCCATGTGCTTATTGGAAACATTGGTGTATTTCAAGGGAATGAGATTTGATATCACTTGTAGTTGCATACTGTCAAGCTAATAATTTGTCTAAAAATAAGTCAATCCAAGGGATTCAATTCCAGTAACCAAAATAAATGGCAGCCCAAGTCTAAACACAAATGTATATGGTTTACCGAATTCTCAACTTTGTTTAGATGAAAAAAACAGAGGGATGGTGAGTTTTTATCACATTGAATAAAATGAAGTTTTTGTTCCTGCTATGGGTTCTGTTATTAACATTGTGACTTTGTTTTGCTTATCTTCCTGAGTGATGGTTTTCAGAAGACAGCCATTTTTTTTTTTTTTTTTGTCAGTCATAGGGGCTTGAACTCTGGGCCTAGGCACTTTCCCTCAGCTCTTCAGCTCAAGGCAAGTACTCTACCACTTGAGCCAAGCACCACTTCCAGTTTTCTGGTGGTTTCTTGGAGATAAGAGTCTCATGGACTTTCCTGCCCGGGCTGGCTTTGAACCACGATCCTCAGATCTCAGCCTCCTCAGTAGCTAGGATTACAGGTGTGAGCCACCGGCACCCAGCAAGACAGCCAATTTCAATTTTGTCATCCCAAACATTCCATTGCATAACTCAAAGGGAAAAGGACATCACAGAGGGTTTGTGCTACTTGTCTCTGAAAGAGCCCTGTATTGTGAAGAAATAATTTGGTGTACAAGAAATCAATGCACATCAAGGATTTCATTGGTTCTTGGTATAAAGGTTAACATTTTGATGTGAACGGCTGTAGCCCTGTGGTTAGATATCTCAGTGTGTGCAGTGGAGCAATTAGTTTTCATCCAGATTTTTTTTTTCTTTTCTTCTCTTTAGTTTTTTTTTCTTCCCATCCAGAATCTTTAAAGAAGCAAGCACTCTTAAATAAAACTTTGGTACAAGACTGCCACCTGGTGTGTGGTGAAGAGAAAAGGGAAATTAACAATGCTTCAGTGGTTAACATCCTGCTGAGAATGACCCCAGGAAACAGTCACAATCAATTAAGTGTAACCACAATGTTCTGAGATTATATACAGTGAAAAACTATGGATAACACTATATACAGACCAGAATGAAACAAGAACATTTTTAGTAGTCACTGATAAGTACCTCAATTTACAAATAAACAAGGAACTTCAATCTAAAGGAAACATGGAAAAGATGAAGTACATATAGAAACAAGTGAAACAGCACAAATGCTTATTTTTAATTATCTTTAGGTAGCTGTACAGAAGGGTTTCATTTTAACATGTAGGTTTTTACACATTGATTTCCCCATCACCACCACATCTCTTCTAACTCCATCCACTTCCTCAAATTTCCTACAAATAATTTGGATTCAGCTATATTTTAAATAAATATTTAGGAAAGAGAACTGGGTAATGAAGATCAAGGACAAATACATTAGAAAAACCATAACCAATATTTCCTCAATGGGCACCACTCCAATACAGCCACCATTCCAAACATATGAGTCCATTAAGGAATATTTTCTGTGTACATATCATTCCATTCATCATCTATCTGTCTGTCATATATCATCTATCTATCATATATGAGATGGGTTCGATTGTTTACAAACATGAGAGACAGGGTAAGTGGCAGAGCTAGGTCTTAACTCAAGTGTCTTGTTCAAGATATACACTCTTACAGAATACTTCAAGTAAAGCTGGGCAGAGTGGGTAGGGAAGGCCCAGAAAGCACCGAGGCTAAGCAAGCAGAACAGGAGTGGAAACCTAGAGGAGGGAAGGCTATCATACAACAGACTGAACACCTTTCCTTCCACACGCACTCATTCCACAAAATGGATAAGGGATTGAGTGAGTTGTGAAGAGCAAGCATAATAAAAGCAGAGAAATTACAGTATTTGCAAGAGTGCAGAAGAGGCACCAGATCGGGGAAAACGTCAGAAAATAATATGCAGTCTCTGAATGATTAGTTCTAAACCATCTGTTGAGTAACTAGCCCGAATTTTCCAGATGCAATCATGAAATCCATTGCTGTTTCCTTTGAGACCAGGGAGGATTAGAGATGCGGGAAGGCCAGAGATTAGCAAATATTTGGTGTTGTTGAAGATGGGAAAAACCTAGACTTCAGAAATTGCAGCCATGTCTGTTAGAACAGATTCCTAGGGATGTTAAAAATATAAAATGTCTTATTATAAATATAATCCAGAAGAATGAGATAAGATGATTAAATTCTTTATTCATAGACATTTATTTCAAAAGATGAAACTTCATTTCAGAGGCCCTGAACAGTTTGATCCGAGCAATGACGTGATCTACAGTGTATTTAATCAGGATCATTGTTGCTTTGTGGAAAACTGGAAAAGGAAGTGGGGATGGAATAATCCATTTCAGACATAGCCCCTTCCCTCCCTGTTGATAGCAAGATGTTAGTTTTGCTCAGATTAATACCTCTTTTGCCAAACACAGTGTCTGGCACAACAAAGACAGATTCAAAAAAAACAACAACAACAGACAAGGGTCTCATATCTAAAATATACTTGAAACTCAAAAAATTAAATCCCCCAACAACAGATCTTCAAAGAAACAACTGCCCAATAAATAAGTGAACTAAAGACTTACAGGGAAACTTCTCTAAAGAGGAAATAAGAATGGTCAATACACACTTAAAGAAATGCTCAACCTCTCTAGCCATAAAAGAAATGCAAATCAAAACAACATTGAGATTCCAACTCTGATAACAACAGATGCTGGAGGGGATGTGGCCAGAAGGGAACCCTACTACATTGTTGGTGGGAGTGTAAACTTGTTCAACCACTTTGAAAAGCAGTATGGAAGTTCCTCAAAAGACTCCACATAGAGCTCCCACTTTTGGGCATTTACCCAAATGATCACAAACAAGACCATACTAAAGCTACCAATACAACTATGTTTTTGTAGCATTATTTACCATAGCTAAGATATGGAACCAACCCAGATGCTCCTCAGTAGATGAATGGATCAAGAAAATGTGGTGTATATATATAATGGAATTCTATGCCTCCATCAGAAAAAATGACATTGCCCCATTTGTGAGGAAATGGAAAGACTTGGAAAAAAATTATATTAAATGAAGTAAGCCAGGCCCAAAGAAACATAGGTCTCATGGTTTCCCTTATTTACAGTAACTAGTATATGTCTGGGACAAGCAGAAAAGGTCAGATAAGATGATGTTAAGCTATTGTTTCTAATGTATTTATAAGGTACCATGTGATTTTGTTGTTGTTGTTGCTTTGTATGTCCCTCCCTCACAGCATAAAACCCTGTTTTCACTGTATTTGATGTAGGTATAATTTGGGGAGGGGAAGGAAAAAAACAAATTGTTTAAATAGGGATACAGGTTGATCCATTGCAACAATGAGATGTACAAAACACTATGTTGAAAAACAATCTTTACAATTTAGGTGGGGAGAATGGGGGGAGTGTAGTTGAGGAGGTGGGAGGGAAGGGATGGTAAGGGAAAAACAAAGGAGGAGGCAACAATGCTGGATAAGAAATGTACTCATTACCTTGCCCATGCAATTGTAACCCCTCTGTACAGTATTTTCACACACACAAAAAAAAGAACTGTGCCGCCGAAGAGATAGAACAAATGAAAATGGAAAGAGACAGCCTATAGGACCTTACTACATGGAAAATCTCTGTTTTGCCTGTTTCCATTTCTCTTGCAACCCATAAACAAATCCTCCTCCTTCCGACCTCCACCCCCATAGATCCAGATGGGCATGCAAAACTGGACCCTAGCTCATTGGAAAGCTGACCCTATCTTGTTTGCATCCCTGATGGCCCTCTGAGGCCATGGAAGAGGAAATTGGCTTTATTAAAAGCTTCTGCATCACCCAAGAGGTCAAACCATGAGTCATCTGCCCTGAAGATCAGCTTTCATGTGTATCTAAGAGATATGCTAAAGCAACATCTCTCTAAGTTCCTGCCAGAGCCTTTTCTGTAAGCCCCTGGGCCAGAGCGAGGGTAAGAGCTGGATGTTGTGTAAAGGATGGCCCTGGTGCCTTTCCTACTGGATGACTGTCCTGAGTCTTAACTATATTGGGCAACTGGAGAAGAAGCATCATGCTGACCTTGACTCCATCCTTAACTGTGTCCTTTGAAGCCAAGATTGGGTTTTTGTTTCTTTCCTTTCTGGAGTTTGCAGTGGGGATCCTGGCCAATGCGTTCATTTTCTTGGTGAATTTTTGGGATGTAGTAAAGAAGCAGCCATTGAGCAGCTGCGATCTTGTGCTACTATGTCTGAGCATCACGCGGCTTTTCCTGAATGGGCTGCTGTTTCTGAACGCCATCCAGCTCACCTGCTTCCAGCAGATCCAACACCCGCTGAACGACAGCTACCAAGCCATCCTCATGCTCTGGATGATCGCAAGCCAAGTCAGCTTCTGGCTCGCGGCCTGCCTCAGCCTCCTCTACTGCTCTAAGATTGCCCGTTTCTCTCACCCCTTTCTGCTCTGCTTGATGAGCTGGATCTCCAGGAAGATCTCCCACATTCTCCTGGGTGCCATGCTTTTATCCTTGGTCTGTGCTGTGTTCTGTATGTGGGACTTTTTTGGCAGATCTCAGTTCATGGCCACCATGGGGTCACCCCTGAATGATACAGAACTCGGTTTGCAAGTTCCAAACCTCCAATTTTTTTACTCATTTCTCTTCTGCAATGTGATGTCTCTCCCTCCTTTCCTATCTTTTCTGGTGTCATCCGGGTTGCTGATTTTCTCCCTGGGAAGTCACTTGAGGACAATGAAGTCCCAAACCAGAGACTCTGGGGACCCCAGCCTGGAAGCCCACGTCAAAGCTCTCATATCTCTGGTCTCCTTTCTCTGCTTCTATGTGCTGGCCTTCTGCGCTGCTCTCGTCTCCGTTCCGTTACTGATACTGTGGCGCAACAAGGTCGGGGTGATGGTTTGTGTAGCGGTGATGGCGGCTTGCCCTGGGGGCCACGCAGCCATCCTGATCTCAGGCAATGCCAAGCTAAGGAGGGCAGTAAAGACCATTCTTCTCTGGGCTTGGAGAAGCTGAAAGGTAAGGACAGCCCACAAGGCAGCTCCCAAGATGCTGTGCTGAGTGAGGCTGGAGGTCAAGTGGAGTCATCCTGCATATGCCTCCAATGTGCGGGAATAATCTTCGGATTCTTCAGCATTCCAATTTGTTTTTGAAACTGAACTGGAAGTTTCTGCTCAATAAGTTGTCTCACTCATAGAAAGGTATAATAGTTAAAACTCTCTGAGTGAGCTGGACAATTATACTAGTCTTGATTCTGTAGGTTAGTTTGGGATAATGAACAAACTCTAAAGGTGAGATCTGCAGGGTGAACTCCGTCGGTGCTATGGTTTATTATCCTTGCTCAGTAGGAGCTAACCCATGAGAAATCACCACTTGTGAAATCACCGCTGAATCTCAAGACAGTATGGCTGGCTTTTAACACGGGTGCTGGGTTCTTTGCCCAAACTGGTGCTCTTTATAATAGTTGAAAATACTTGCTACTGTGGACATTACATCATTTTCAAATGGCACATTTTGCGTGGAAACATAAAATCTGAAAAAGAAAAGCTGAGAACAATGATCATAGCTCCAGCTTCAAAAGACACTACATTAAAAGGCCAAAGGATCCAACAGATAAAGGTCATTTTGTCTGTAAAGACAATGACTCCCAATGGACTTCCACCTGCTGTATGAGAGGTAATGGAGATCTGTGTTCACTGAGTGTCCTGGATTCCACAGTCCTGTGACCCTTCTGACTCTGCTCTGTTAGCTGTGCTAGTTAAGGAACCTGCGAGAAGAGCCTAATCAAAAGGCAGAGATTCTGTCAACTTTGTTTTCCTGAATATATATATATATATATATATATATATGAATTAACCAAAACAACTTCTAAAAAATTTCAGAAGAGAAACTTGAACACCAGACATTAAAATACTGAAAGATTTCAAAGTCATGGGTCACTGGAGGCCCTTACTTATACTAGCTGTGGGTGCTGCAAGAGAATTGCTTTCTCATTTCAGGTACCTTCTGCTCTGGATCCATCTAATTTTTTCTGTTTTCCCAAATAGATTAGCCTTTTCTTCATCTCCGTGGCTACAAGTTTTGTGACTTTATCTGACTTCTTTCACTTTGTAGACACCAAGATTGCCATAGGCTCCCCTCAGAGGCCATGGTCCCCATTCTTGGCTATGCAATTAGATTAGTTAAGAATTTTATTTTTTTAATGTCAATGCCTAGGCTACATTCTAGGTAGGCCAGAAAGACCAAATGTTTAGTCTTTAAAAACTAGACCGCCTAGTTTTTAAGCAGATGATCCAAGCCAAGGTATAGCAAACCAAACTGTATCATTGCTATTTTTTTGCCAGTCCTAGGGCTTGAACTCAGGGCCTGGGCACTGTCCCTGGGCTTTGTTTTGCTCAAGGCTAGCACTCTACCACTTGAGCCACAGCGCCACTTCCGGCTTTTTCTGTGCATGTGGTACTGAGGAATCGAACCCAGGGCTTCATGAATGCTAGGCAATCACTCTACCACTAAGCCACATTCCCAGACCATGTATCATTTCCTTTTAATTCCACTTTCCTAGAGAATTCTGAGGAATATCACAGAAAAGAAAACAGTGGAGACCACCCTTGTTTTCTTTGTTTTTGTGAAAGTTCTCTCTGGAAAGGTGTACATTATATCCATAGCTTTTCTTAAAAACTATTTTCCAGAACAGTTTTAGGTTCACCATAACATTTTTTAAAAAGGCACAAAGCCATCCTACAGCCTCCCCCATTATCAACACCCCCCACACTGTAGCTTGGATAAATTTATAATAGTATGTATTGACCATTGTAATATAACATACAAAATTTTCATTGACCTAAAAATCTTTTGAGCCCTCCCTACTCATCCTACCCACTCTCCCTCAACTTCTGGGACCCGCTAGCCTTGTTTCTTGTTGTTATTGGTTGTGGGGCTTGAGCTTGGGGCCTGAACTCTCACTCAAGGCTAGCACTCTTCCACTTTGAGTCACAGTCCCACTTGCGGTTTTCGGGTGGTTAATTGGAGTCTCATAGACCTTCCTTCCCAGGCTGGCTTCAAACTGCGATCCTCAGATCTCAGCCCCATGAGTAGCTAGGATTAGAGATGTGAGCCACCAGGACCTGGTCCACGAGCCTTTTCACTATCTCCACAGCTACTCTTTTTCATAATGCCATATAGTTGGAATTATATGGGATGTAGCCTTTTCAGATTGACTTGTGCAGATTGTTTTCTAGACATGAGCTTTCAACAACTTTAAGTAAATTCTGAGTAAATCAGATATTGGACCATATGATAAAGGATGTTTTATTTTATAAGAAACCATCACACTTCCTTCCAAAGTGTTTGTACCATTTTATATTCCCACAAACAATGACCAAGAGCCAATATTTGGTGTTCTGGATTTTGATCATTCTAAGAGATGTGTATCGGTATCTTGTATTTTTAATTTACATTTCTTTGATAATGCATGATTCAGAGAATTTTGTCATATGGTCATTTGCATGATTTTATTTTCAACATGATATACTAGAGATTCACCTATAGTATATAAATCACAGCCTATTTATATACCCACAAGTAAGGATCAGTTACTGTGTTGTTTATAGTTTGGAGTTATTATCAATAAACTTCCTATAAACATTTTTCATCCATGGACAAAATTTTCATTTCTCTTAGATAAACACCTAGGAATGAAAACACCATGTCATTAGGTTAATACAAGTTTAACTTTATAAGAAACTACTTATAATAAAAAAGCAAATTAAAAAAGAAACTGCTGAAGAGTTTTCCAAAGTGATCCTGACATTTTTGTTCCAGTCAACCCTGTAGGAGAGTTGCTCTATATTCTCATCAACAGCAATTTGGTGATGTTAGTAGGTTTGGTACAGGAGTTTAAACTCAGGGCCTCAAGCAAGTGTTGTACCACTTGAGCCATTTTACTAGTTTTAGCTTATTTTTTAGATAAGATCTGACTTTTACCAGGGCAGGTCCAGGCCCATGATCCTTCTACCTCTGCCTCCTGAGTAGATAAAATGATAGCCATGTGCCATCACACCTACTGTCAGTCTTTTTAATTTTGGTTATTCTAATGGGAGTGAAATAGTTTTAATTTGCGTTTTCCTGAGAGCAAATGACATGTAGCAAATTTTCATGTTCAGCGTGGTCATTTGTATATCTTCTACTATAAGCTATTTGTTGGCCTATATGCTTACACTGAGGTGTCTTTTTATTGCTGATTTATAGGATTACTTATTAGTGAATTTTAGTATTTGTGTATGTTTTATATATGTATTCATACCCGTTACATGTATATTTATAACAAAATTATATAGAAGTCTGTTTTTCTTATTGATTTGTAGGCATTTGTATAAATATATATGCAAAATATTGACATAATCATGCATGTATGGAAATATATAGATGTATATACATATATACACATATATATGTGTCCTTTGTCCTTATATGTATTTACTTAACCCAGACTATACTTGCCTTTTTATTTTTTTAATTGTAAATTAATGAGAAGAAATTCTGGATTAATAAAATTCAATTTGCATTTTTATCTTTCATATTTGTACTTTTTATGTTCCAAGATGTATCTGCTTGCATCTTACATGAAAAAAGTTCATGATTTTTTTCTCTTTAATTTTAACAAAGTGCTTTTTTTTGTATGTGTATGTGTGTATGCGTGTATGCCAGTCCTGAAGCTTGAACTCAGACCCTGGACACTGTTTCTGAGCATTTTTGCTCAAGGCAAGCACTTCTGACTTTTTTCGTAGTAACTGAAGATAACAGTCTCACTGGTTTACCATCTGGGGCTAGCTTCAAACCACAATCTTCCTTTGAGTAGCTAGGTTTACAGGCATTAGTCACTGGTGCCCAGCTTAATTTTTAAGAGTTTTAATATTTATGTCTGGCTATAGAGTCCAGTTTGAATTAATTTCATATAATCTAGTTATTTGGTTATATAATCCACTTTGAAAGGATGAAGCTTAGTTTTTTGTGTATCCATCTAGGAAGCTTAGAGCCATTTATTGAATCTTTTCAATTCCTCACTAAATGGATTTGACATCTTCATTGAGAAATAACTATATGTTTGTCTACTGTTAAACAATACTTTAATTTCCTTGGTTTTAATTTCCTTTAGTTTCCTTGGTTTCTATAAATCATAAGTCAGTTTTAAAGGCAAATATTGTGAGTCTTCCAAACATACTTTATTTTTCCAAGTTGTTTCAATTACTTTGAATCATGACTTTCATAACAACTGATATGCATAGATAGAGAGAGAAAGGTACATATTATTATTCATAAACACATTCAATCTCCTGTAAATTCATCTATAAACATACATACTTCCTCTTTTGTTTAATCTTACATTTCTTTTAGGGATTTAAAGTTTTCAATGTAAAATTCTTTTAATAACATTATTTCTGCTGGGCGCCGGTGGCTCACGCCTGTAATCCTAGCTACTTAGGAGGCTGAGATCTGAGGATCACAGTTCAAAGCCAACCAGGGCAGAAAAGTCTGTGAAACTCTTATCTCCAATAAACCACCAGGAAACTGGAAGTGGTGCTGTGGCTCTAGCGGTAGAGCACTCGCTTGCTTTGAGCTGAAGAGCGGAGGGACAGCACCCAAGCCCAGAGTTCAAGCCCCACAACTGACAAAAAAAATTATTTCTATGTGTTTAACATTTATTACTGTATATTTAATTACTTAAAGTTTCATTCAATTGTTTGCTACCAGTATATAAAACACAACCTACACTAATCATGTATCTATGGCTTTCCTAATGTAGTAGTAATGCTAGTAGTTGCTTGTAGAATCCCTAAAATTCTTAAACAATCATGCCAACAACATATGAAGCAATTTTACTTTTTTTCTGCTTCATTTTATATCTTTTATTTAATTTATTTTACTTGGCAGAATCTCCAATAAAATATTGTTTAGAGTTAATGTGAGAATATATCCTGGGTTTTTTCTCCATTTTTAGGGAGAAAATATTCAATATT